AAATGATTCAGTTCAATTAACCCTTTCTTGAAGATACTTTGAAAATTTACTAGTATTATTTTTTGCTCTAGTCAGTACAGCACAATTAGGTTCACTAGCACTTTATGAACTGTATTCTGAGAAACATCAGTTTTCTCATTTAGGACTAAATATAAATAGAAATCAATTACAAACTGAGTCATAGAAAATGCTTTTTTAAAAAATCCTCCAGCTTGTTACTCTTTCTTCTTTGTTCTAATGTGGAGTTAATAAATATGCATTCTACGCCAGGCAAAACCCCTTCTCTCTCTCTTTTTCTTTTTTTTTAGATAATCAGCTAATAGCCAGGCACCCTTTTGGGTCTAATAAGAAATATTTACAACCTGCTTTCTCTCTGAAGTCTGTCATCTGAGAGATTCTTCTGCACAATAAAACTTGGTCTCCACAATCCTTTACCTTAACCTAAACACTCCTTTCCATGGATCCCAGGTCTTCAGATAAACTCAACCGTCAACCAGAAAATGTTTAAATTCACCTGTAGCCTGGAAGCCCCCACTTTGAGTGGTCCTGCCTTTCTGAACCAAACCAATATATTTCTTTTTTTTTTTTAATGTTAACACGAATATCACCAACTTCAACTTTTGTTGTTTTTTTGTTTGTTTGTTTTTTGGAAAAAAAGAGAAAGTAAAAAAAGAATGAAGGAGAGGAAGAAAAAGGAAGAGGAAGAGAGAAACGGGAGTGTTGCTTTATTGCCCAGGCTAGAATGCAGTCTAAAAATGGGTATTGAAAACCTCTTTTATACCAATAATTGTGCTTAATAATGGAGACAGGAAAAAATGAGAGAAGAAAATAACAAACAAGTAGCCAACCAATATTTCATTTAAACCTGTGAGTAGGTGTGATGTGGTACTGATAAGAATGTATATTTTATGTATTTAAAGTGGAGAGTTCTATAAATGTTTTATTAAGTTTACTTGTTCTGGATCTGAGTTCAAGTCCTGGATATCCTTGTTAATTTTCTGTCTCGTTGATCTATCTAATACTGATGTTGAAGTCTCCCACTATTATTGTGTGAGAGTCTAAGTCTCTTTATAAGTCTTATGTATCTGGGTGTTCCTGTATTGGGTGTGTATATATTTAGGATCATTAGCTCTTCTTGTTGCATTGATCCTTTTGCCATTATGTAATAACCTTCTTTGCCTCTTTTGATCTTTGTTGGATTAAAATCTATTTTATCAGAGGCGAGAATTGCAACTCCTGCTTTTTATTTATTTATTTATTTATTTATTTATTTATTTATGCTCTCCGTTTGGTTGGTAAATATTTCCCCATCCCCTTGTTTTGGGTCTTTGTGTATCCTTGCATGTGAGATGGGTCTGGATGTAGCATACCGATGGGTTTTGGCAGTGTCTTTTGATTGGGGGATTTAGTCAGTTTAAATTTAGGATTAATAATAATATATGTGAGTTTATTGCTGCCATTTGATGTTAGCTGGCTGTTTTGCCCATTAGTTGATGTAAATTCTTCATTATGTTGATGCTGTTTACTTTTTGGTATATTTTTGGAAAGGCTAATGCTGGTTGTTTCTTTCTATGTATAATGCTTCTTTCAGAAGCTCTCGTAAAGCAGGCCTGGTAGTGATGAAATCTCTGATTACTTGCTTGTTCACAAAAGATTTTATTTTTCCTTCGCTTGTGAAGCTTAGTTTGGCTGGATATGAAATTCTGGGTTGAAAGTTCTTTTCTTTAAAGATGTTGAATATTGGCCCCACTCTCTTCTGGCTTGTAGGGTTTCTGCTGAGAGATCTGCTGTGAGTCTGATAGGCTTCCCTTTGTGGGTAACCTGACCTTTCTCTCTGGCTGCCCTTAGTATTTTCTCCTTCATTTCAACCCTGGTGAATCTAACGATTATGTGCCTTGGGGTTGCTCTTTTTGAGGAATATCTTTGTGGTGTTCTCTGTATTACCTGGACTTGAATATTTGCCTGCCTTGCTAGGTTGGGAAAGTTTTCCTGAATAATACCCTGAAGAGTATTTTCGAGCTTGGATTCATTCTCTTCGTCGCATTCAGGTACACCTATCAAACGAAGATTAGGTCTTTTCACATAGTCCCATATTTCTTGGAGACTTTGCTCATTCCTTTTTATCCTATTTTCTCTAATCTTGTCTTCTCATTTTATTTCATTAAATTGGTCTTCGACCTCTGATATCCTTTCTTCTGCTTGATCAATTCGGCTGTTAAAACTTGTGCATACTTCGCGAAGTTCTCGTGTTGTTTTTCAACTCCATTAATTCACTTATATTCCTCTCTATATTGTCTATTCTTGTTAGCATTTCCTCAAACCTTTTTTTAAAGTTCTTAGTTTCTTTGCATTGGGTTAGAACGAGTTCTTTTAACTCCCAGAAGTTTCTTATCATCCACCTTCTGAATCCTACTTCTGTTCATGGAACACACTTCTCCATCAGACCTTGTTCTGTTGCTAATGAGGAACTGTGATCTCATGTAGATGGAGAGGCATTCTGATTTTGGGTATTCTCAGCCTTTTTAGGCTTGTTTCTTCCCTTTGTTATAAATTTATCCATCTGTCATCTTTGTAATTACTGACTTTCTAATTAGGTTTCTGAGTGGATGTCCAACTTGATGATTCCCAGCGCCGGAATCTGAGCAACCACTGTGCCGGCTAAAACAGCAACGTTAAGATTGATGGTGCTTTTCTGCCCGGGAACCTCTGGTCTGTCTTCCTTCTTGAGTCCGTCCTTCAATCAGCTGAATAGGCGACTCTGCCTTCCCAGAGCTCCAAATGTCGGCCAAAAGGGGACCCAGTCCCATTTACTCTGCACCAAGAACCACCGTGCCAGCCACAAGAGTCACGCTGGTGACCCGTGGGGCTCCTCTGCTGGGAATCTCCTGGTCTGTGAGCAACAAAAATTCATCTGAAAGTGTGGTATCCTCTCGTTCTCTGTGCTTTCACTGGAAGCTACAATCCCGAGCTGCTAGTGATCAGCCATCTTGGATCTCTCTCGATTTGTTAATCCTGTGAAACCCCTTCTCTACTATAAATACAAAAATTAGCTGGGCATGGTAGTGTGTGCCTGTAATCCCAGCTACTCAGGAGGCGGAGGTTGATGGTGGGATTGAACCTGGGAGGCCGGGGTTGCAGTGAGCCAAGATTGTGCCACTGCACTCCAGCCTGGGCGACAGGACAAGACTGTCTCAAAAATATATATATATGCATTCTAAACCCTTTAATGTTATGGTTAATTGAGGTTTTCACAGTACCATTTCAGTGTATTAATTTAGGACATGTATGTTCTCTTTACATTGTCAACAAAGTACATTCTGTGATTTTGGATCTAGATTCTGGTGGGATACTTCTGGTTGTTTAAAGAGTTTATTTATGTCAAAGATCAGATGGTTGTAAATTTGTAGCATTAAGATCATGTCATCTGCATATAGAGACAGCATGTAGAGAGGAGCCCCACAGGTCACCAGCACGACTCTTGTAGCTGACACGGTGGTTCTTGGTGCAGAGTAAATGGGACTGGGTCCCCTTTTGGCCGACATTTGGAGCTCTGGGAAGGCAGAGTCGCCTAGTCAGCTGATTGAAGGACGGACTCAAGAAGGAAGCCAGACCAGAGATTCCTGGGCAGAAAAGCACCATCAATCTTAATGCTGTTCAATTGGGCTATATTTCTGTTTTGGTAGCAGTACCATGCTGTTTTGATTACTGTAGCCTTGTAGTATAGTTTGAAGTCAGGTAGTGTGATGCTTCCAGCTTTGTTCTTTTGTTTTTGGATTGTCTTTGCTATGCAGGCTCTCTTTAGTTCCATATGAAATTTAAAGTGGTTCTTTTCCAGTTCTGTGAAGCAGGTCGATGGTAGCTTGATGGGGATAGCATTGAATCTGTAAATTACTTTGGGCAGTATGGCCATTTTCAAAATATTGATTCTTCCTAACCATGAGCATGGGATTTTTTTCTATCTGGTTGTGTCCACTCTTATTTCCTTAAGCAGTGGTTTGTAGTTCTTGAAAAGATCCTTTACATCCTTTCTTTGTTAGTTGTATTCCCAGGTATTTTATTCTCTTTGTAGCAATTGTGAATCGGAGTTTGCTCTCGATTTGGCTGTTAGTCTGTAATTGGTGTATAGGAATGCTTGTGATTTCTGCACATTGATTTTGTATCCTGAGACTTCGCTGAAGTTGCTTATCAGTTTAAGGAGATTTTGGGCTGAAATGATAGGGTCTTCTAAATATACAATCATGTCGTCTGCATATAGAGACAATTTGACTTCCTCCTTTCCTAATTCAATACCCTTTATTTCTTTTTCTTGCCTGATTGCTTGGCTAGAATTCCCAATACTATATTGAATAGGTGTGGTAAGAGAGGGCATCCTTGTCTACTGTTTACTCCCAAGCAGTATCTATGTAAGTACCTATGTAAAGGTGAAAAGTAGATTTTTCTACTGTTAGAACTAATACTGTTTTTAGCATGTAATCTGCTATTGTCATCTTCCTATCTTAATAAGTGGCTTTGAACAAGTGAAAATAGTATAATTCTCTTCATGATATATACTACCATGATTTAATCTTAAACCACAGTTTGTAATCATTATTACAAGCTTAATTTCTTTTAGTTTATTATTTAGAATAATTTGCCTTATATAACCAATGAAATTGTTGCATTTGGAGTGAAAGTGAGACAAAAAAATAATTTGTAGAATTTACAAAAGTGATTTACTCAGATTGTTTTAACATACTGTTATAATAGTTTGTATGCCTTATACTTTGTATAAGCCATAACTATATTGCAGTTTCTGGCCTATTTGTAAGCAAAATTTTCCTCTGGATCCTTTGCTTTCAGAAAAAAAAAAAGTTTTTTTCTCCTCGTCCATGTCATTTTATCATAAATGCTAAATAAAATATTTCTCCCAATAGTTTTAGAAAGTAAAAATACTTCTTGACTATGTAGCACAGACCTTCCCATTACAATTCATTTTTATGTATTTTTTAAAATACCCACAGCTCGAAAAACAAAGAAAAAAATAAAAGGAATTCAGCAGGCCACTACAGGAGTCTCACAAGAAACCTCTGAAAATCCTGCTAACAAAACAATAGTTCCTGCAACGTTGCCACAACTCACCCCTACCCTGGTGTCACTGTTGGAGGTTATTGAACCTGAGGTGTTGTATGCAGGTTATGACAGCACTGTTCCAGACTCAACTTGGAGGATCATGACCACGCTCAACATGTTAGGAGGGCGGCAAGTGATTGCAGCTGTGAAATGGGCAAAGGCGATACCAGGTAAGATGCAAAAGATAAAAGAGCAACCATATAAACTTTTGTGTTTTCTTCAGCAAAAACACTTCAGCTTTTTTATCATCCTGAGCCCATGGCTTATCTTGTTTCCCTTACTCAGTTCTGGAAACTACGAAGTGGAGAGTCAGATGAATACAGGTAATAGGGAGTTTATAATCAAACATGTACGTTCCTCCCTCTTTTACAAATCATTATGGTAATTTCACATAGGATGATGTAATAATCAGAACTCAAGTTACAGGACTTTTACACTGAAGTTTGGGGAAAGAAAATGTTTTTAGTTAATTCCAATTGTTTTGCTTCAGTGTGGCCCTTTTTAAAATCAGGATGTTTGTAAAATTAGTAAACATCAAGTGTGCTGACTCTGTCAAAATTTGTACTAAAGTAGAATGATTTTAAGTCTTCACTAAATGAAATGCTACACATTGAATGTAATTTTAAAGATAATTTTAAATAAAAGTAGTTCCCCTATTGGAATTCGGTGTGGAAGAGCAGAGGTCAATGTCAGTGTCAGCTCTAACTTTAATGATAAAGGGAATTGACAAGCTTGTGTTCACACAAATAGGGACAGAACAAGAAAGTAACCTGTCATCCTTGTTTTATTAAAGGGGAAAGAGGTGTGGCTAGAGCAAACATTTTACTTAACTTGTTGATTAATATCTCAAGCCAGGATTCCTTTCTATTTTTAAAAATCAATACATAATAGTTGTACATATTTATTGTATGTATTTCTATTTACGGGGTACATGTAATATTTTGATAGAAGCATAGAACGTTTGTAAGGATCAAATCAGAGTAATTGGGATACCCATCACCTCAAACATTTGGGAAACATTCCAAATCTTCTAACTATTTTGAAAATGTATAATAAATTATTGTAACTGTAGACATTCTGTAGAACTTATTTCTTCTAACTGTATTTTTGCACCCTTCAACAAATCTCCCTTCATCCCCTTCACCACTACCCTTTCCAGTCACTGGTAACTGCCAAGCCAAGAATTTTGGCTTTCTATTTTACTATTTTACTATTGAGTTCATGTTTACTTAAGCAGACAAAGGTGACAAAACTGGCTACTTATTTTTTTTAACACTGAAAGCTATTAAAAAGCACAGAGGGGGCTGGGTACAGTGGCTCATGCTTGTAATCCCAGCACTTTGGGAGGCCAAGGTGGGTGGATCACTTGATCAGGAGTTCGAGACCAGGCTGGCCAACATAGCGAAACCCCATCTGTACTAAAATTACAAAAATTAGCCGAGCATGGTAGTACACCATTGTATTCCCAGCTACTTGGGAGGCTGAGGCACAAGAATCACTTGAACCTGGGAGGCAGAGGTTGCAGTGAGCTGAGAGGGTGCACTCCAGCTTGGGTGACAGAGCAAGACTATCTAAAACAAAATAAAACAAGCACAGAGGGTTTCAGTCTTAAAAGTATCAGATGACAGAGGAAAACTTTGTCTACCTAGCATTTAGTTTCCTTTTTCTGTTAGGGGCCCCCTTGTTTTGACAGGACTAAATGATCTCATTGCTCTTTGGCAATTCCCATAGAGATGATCTTCTTAGAGTGTTGCCTTATACCTTTATTTCTCCTAATTCAGGTTTCAGGAACTTACACCTGGATGACCAAATGACCCTACTGCAATACTCCTGGATGTTTCTTATGGCATTTGCCTTGGGGTGGAGATCATATAGACAAGCAAGTTCAAACCTACTGTGTTTTGCTCCTGATCTGATTATTAATGAGTAAGTTGTATGTGAGTCATTTTCCCTGAATTCATAGGGTATTTTTAACCAGCTGATGTTTTCCTGATGGACTGCTATTGTGATAATTCAGGACTGATTCAATCCTACTGGGTATCTAGGAACTAGGCAAACTAGAAAGAGAGTTATGAGTGCTTAGGGCAGGACAAGTGTAATGTAGAGCAGATGTACATGTGGCATTATTACTGTCCCAGGCCATGTTTAAGGGTATTTAACAGCATCTCTGAGGTTAGTAAAGTCTGTTACAAGCAACAAGAAATCTAACTTTCATAATCCTACTCCAGAAAGAAAAACCATGATAAAACTCATGTGGATTCAGTGGCGACAATTGCAGATGAGGATATCTAGGCTGATGGGGTGGGACATATGGACCCAGACACAAGAGATATCTCTTTGTATGGCAAGGCTCACCCAGTATCTGTGGCTTAAGAATATGGGAACAAGTTTGTTTTGTTGAACTGAGAGAAGACCAAGCCTTTAGGATTTTATAAATCGGCTATTCTCTTATCCTCTGTGCTTATTCCTGTATCTGTGAAATATTTCAGGTATCCATTTCCCCTTACCTCATTGCAGTTGTTTCCTCACTAGTTTTTACCTCCAGTGTAATCTTCATCATGTTGGCTAATGTTTGCTTCCTCAAACACAGTCTGACTGCATCACATCTCTCTCTAGGACACAGACTGTCTTCAGTGTCTTCCCACTGACCCTCTAGTATATACTCTGCATGATTTCAGCCTTTCCAGAACCTCACCTCACTTCCTCTCCTGTTGTTTTCCTTCACATACTCTTCATTCCCTTCCCTTCTTCGAGCATAGTCTTAGACTGTTGGTGTTCACATCACCAGATACACGGCAGGGAAGTCACATCCTAGCTCTTCTCACTTTCTACCTTGTGTTATTACTTTTCATAGCCCTAGCTTATTGCTCTTAGTAGAATGTAAACAGGAAGTTCACACACACATACCCGTGGTCTAAGAAGAACAAAAAATGAAGATTCGTGTTTGTATAAAAAACAGAAGTCACCTTGACTAACCTATTGCCAACAAAAGGATTGTTCAAACTACTGCATCACAATGTAACAAGATTAGGTAGTTTGAGCCAATTTTAAATTAACTGGTAAATATATTTAGTTTCTGGAGAAACTCAAGACATTATTATTCATTTCAGAATCCTACCATGCTGTTTAAGAAATACCATGTTGGCAGTATTTATTTTTTAGTCACTTTCTAACATGCAATTTGAAGGCTTTTAAGTGGAATTAAAAGCATAAACAGATTTATATGAAACACGAACTTATCCTTCCTAACCTAATTTAGAGTTTCTATTAGGGCATTCAGATTTAGATTTCAGCAGTCACAGCATAATCTGATCATGCCACATACATTCCTTATTTCTTTCCTCAACAGATTTACGTTAGTTTCATTTTCATGAAGGGATATTTACTTCCCATTCTTGTGTTCATATGCTGCTGCATATAAGATGATGATCAGTCCTCCACCTTTTTTTTTTTTTTTTGAAATGAGTCTCACTCTGTCACCCAGGCTGGAGCGCAGTGCCGTGATCTTGGCTCATGGCAACCTCCACCTCGTGGCTTCAAGCAATTCTCTGCGTCAGCCTCCTGAATAGCTGGGATTACAGGCATGCCCCACCATGCCCGGTTAGTTTTTTGTATTTTTAGTAGAGATGGGGTTTTGCCATATTGGCCAGGCTGGTCTTGAACTCTTGACCTCAAGTGATCCACCCAATTTGGCCTCCCAAAGTGTTGGGATTATAGGCATGAGCCACTGCACCCAGCCCTCCACTCCTTTTTTCTTAGCCTACGATGCTTCCATACTGCTCTGGTGTCTGTGACAGGCAGATTTTGTGTATCAGAAAGTGTGTATTCAAGTTCTAACCCTCTATAGAGCTGTAAAACAGTCTCTCATGGATGCCCTTAGGTCAGAATGTTGTCGGAGAAAAATGTTAGTTGTTTTTACAGCTAACAAGAATGAGCTTTTACTTATTCTACTACACTATAACTTTGTTGAAATTTTCAGTTAGGGAGTACAACCATGTACAAGAAACTAAAGGAAAAAGGTGGCTCCCAGAAAAGGAGTGCTTGCTATTAAGGATTGGGGAGGTGCCTTTGAAGAGCCTGTGATCGTGTTGGCAGCATATAATTTGTGTCTGATTCATTTTACATAAAGACATAAACCACATCTTCAGTAGAGAAAAATAACTTGTTGTTGTTAAGTCCAAGATCACTTTCTGTCAGAAACTTAAAAAAAAAATCTTGAAGCATTTTTAAAGCTGTGAACTGTGCCCAGTTTCAAGCTCTTAGTGTCAATTCAAAAGTCAAGACACTTTAGAGATCTATTTGAAAATCATAGATGTGTAATGACTATTCAGAATCATAGTCATTATGAGAATTGGTTTGGTACCTTTAAATAATATTAAGGCATATGCCTGTCAGAGGCAGATTTTGAGTATCAGAAGTCTAGAATCAGGATTTAGGTCTGGCCCTCTGCATAACAGTGAAAAGTGTCACACATTTTTGTCTTTAGAATAGAATGTGGTGAAAAATTTACCTTTAAAAATCAAGTGTGTAGGACCTAAAACTGTGTTGTCTAATTGAGCATATTCAAGTGATAAACCTTGATTTAAATGAGCAACTAGTAATACAGTTCTATAAGAATTCTAAACATTTTCATCAAATAATAATTCATGGAATGCGATAGAAAATAATGTTTCCACTGTTACATTAAATTATTCATTAGTCTCCTTAAATAGCCATGATCCAAGAAGAAGTTTAAGGGAAGTTCTCCAAAATTCAGATTTTATAAGGAATTAGCAATATTATTATTGCAATACTTGTTTTTCTTTATGAGTTCATAGTTTTGCAAAACAAAACAAAAGTATGTGCTTTTGGGGAGGGAAGTAGCACTATTTCTAACTACTACCCTGCTATTTATCTTTCACAGGCAGAGAATGACTCTACCCTGCATGTACGACCAATGTAAACATATGCTGTATGTTTCCTCTGAGTTACACAGGCTTCAGGTATCTTATGAAGAGTATCTCTGTATGAAAACTTTACTGCTTCTCTCTTCAGGTTAGTAGACCACCTTTTCACTTTATGTCAAAAGCATGAAATATGATAGTCTAGAAACAAAGATTAATTTATATACTTAGTACTAATAATTTTACCAAGTCTACTGTTATTTCCTACTAGTCAGATGATTTTTGTAAGACAAATTAGGTATCGCAGAATAGAGAGGTATATGAGCTGCATATAGGGATCTCTGTTGATTGGAATCGGTATAGACTTTTTTCTCCTTCCTTCCTTTGATCTTTTGATCATGGGAAGACATGGAAAAAGAAAGCCAACTACAGTGATTTTATTTGTCTCCTACACTGTTATTTGGTTAAAAAATTTAGTTACCTAATAAGTGTTAGCATGTATAAGAAATTATGGGAGAAAAAGATGTATCCTAGAAAAGGTATGCTTAATTACTCTTGGGGGATTGGTTAACATAGCATTGGAGCTCAATTGTCAGAGATTCACTGTCAAGAAAATGGCAACAAGAGTTTATAAAACAAACTTCTGTGAGATTACTTTTTTGCTAGCAAAGACAGAGATGTCCTTCAGTAGGTGAAGTGATAAACTATGATACCTCCAGATGATGGAATACTATTCAGGACTAAAAAGAAAGGAGCTATCAAGCCATGAAAACACATGGAGGAACCTTACATGCATATTACTAAGTGAAAAAAGCTCATCTGAAAGGGCTACATATTGTGTAATTCCAACTATATAACATTCCATAAAAGGCAAAACTGTGAAGACAGAAAAGAAAAGAAAAAAAAAACAGTGGTTTCCAGGGTTTAGAAGGAAGGGAGGGATAAATTTGCAGAGCACAGAGGATTTTTACGGCATTGAAAATACTTCATATGATACCATAATGGTAGAAACATGTTGTTATACATTTGTCCAAACCCAAAGAAATGTCCACCACCAAGTGTGAGCCCTCAACTGTGGACTTTGGGTCATGATGTATAGGATAGGAGGTATATGAGAAATCTCTGTAACTTCCTCCCGATTTTGCTGTGAACTTAAAACTGCTCTAAAAGAAAGTCTTTAAAAAGAAACAAAACTCTATGAACTAGTTGGTATTATAAACCTTAGGCCATTTGCCGTAAAAATTACATGTCAATGTTTATTAACCGAGTTAATGGGTGAATACCTCTTTCATATACAAATGAGTACATTTGCAATTTTTTTAAGTCTTAATTCCATTAGTAACTGTGGTTTCCTAGTTGCCAAATAACTAAGCTATGGCTGTTGCACAAGACTGTGACTGCATTTAACCCTTTTATAACTATTTAAACATTTCCAAAGCACACATTTGTCTTAATGCATTCATATTATTTTTACTCAACAAAAAGTTGTTTTATGTTAATGGATATAAGAAGTATTAATAATATTTCAGTCAAGGCAAGAGAACCCAGTAAGGATCATTGCTAGAGACATGTTTAATATTACCTGGAGCAGTATACTTGCTAAAGAAGTGATTAAGCAGTTAAAGTTCTGATCATAACTTTGATTGATACCATGAAGTACAATTCAGTGCCTGGATACTAACAAACAACCTTATTAGTTTAAAAATATATATATGGTTTCTATTGTACACATGCCAGCCTAATTGAGCTATATAATTTTTTTCATTGTAAATAATAAGAAAAAGTAAATTGGCCTAGTATCTATCACAAGATCTACTTTTCAAAAAATAATAGAATCATAAGGATGGAAATATATACCTTAAGATATAGACTTATACTCTGATGGACTACTGGAACAGGTACTATAACCTCCCACCAAAAATGCTAGACTAAAAAATTTAAGAACCAAGTGAAGGCAGGAACCCACAGAGATAAGTGGAACTCAAGCCAACTTGCTCTTTGAGGCCATTTGTAAAACCTGGTAAATTAGTAAGTTGGAGGGTTTGTTTTTCAGGTTTATAATCTTTTTAAAAATAATTTCAATAGGTTTTGGGGGGAACAGGTCGTGTTAGGTTACATGAATAAGTTCTTTAGTGGTGATTTCTAAGAGTTGGTGCATCCATCACCCGAGCATTGTACACTGTACTCAATGTGTAATCCATTATATCATTCTTATGCCTTTGCATCTTCATAGTTTAGCTCCCTCTTTTAAGTGAGAACATGCAATATTTGGTTTTCCATTCTTGAGTTACTTCACTTATAATAATGGTCTCCAATTCCATCCGGGTTGCTGCAAATGCCATTATTTTGTTCCTTTTTATGACCGAGTATTCCATGGTATATATATACCACATTTTCTTAATCCACTCATTGATTGATAGGCATTTGGGCTGGTTCTCTATATTTAGTAAGTTAAAAAACAAAGGATGCAAATGTAAGAAGGGATGGAAATATAAGCGCAATTGAAAGAGCTGAGGATGGATCTAAAAGCAGATTGGACACATTTAAAGAAACACTTGAAATGTATATCTGAAAAAATCAGCCAGAATACAGTTGTTTTTAATGAGTATGTATATGTTTTTGTATATAAACCACAAGGGAAATCTGTAGATACTGAAAATCACAACAGGAAAATTGCAACAAAGCTATAGAAGCTGGAAAGGCAATGACTTTTCTTAGGTCCCTCAGAGAATGGAGGTCATAGGGCAAACCACCATCTCATCTGGAAGAACAGGCAAATACAGAGAAACACAGCCAAGGTCAGCTTACTGGGAAAAGATGCCACAGAAGCCAGGAAGACTATGGTAATTTTCAGGAATTGCCGGAGGCTGAGTGAGGACTAGTTTGAGAGTTAAAAACTCCCAGGGACCCAGTCTTAGTGGGGGTTTCCTGCAATTTCTTGGGTTTACCCCATAAAATTTCTAACTTTCAGAAACTCAATGAGGTTCTTATGGTGAAGATGTGAGAAAAATTCCCTCTTATTTCTGGTAGAAGGGGAAGGTAAAATTTGGAAATATGTAGGAGAATGTTTACAACAAAGGCCCACCCTTTAAGGAAAACTAATTCAACAGGGCCTTATGTGACCTGGGGAAAGGGCAGATAGAGAATTCTAGCCCTGTCTTAGCCTTCTTGTCTCATTTCTGAAAGTCATAGTCCAGAGATTTAGACCCACTAAAAGAAATGTGATTTAATCATACACTTCATTCACCTCCCCTTCCCCAACACCTTACCATCAAATAAACAGGGCTACAGGATAAAATAACAGTGTATTACAGCTGAGAGAGCTGCAAGACACAAGCTATTTAAGGAGTTCTTAGGAAACCCAAAGACAACAGAAGAAAAAGTAATAAAAATAAAAACAAGGAAACTAGAGGGAACTGAAGCCTCTACTACCTACAACTATAGCAAACATTAAATACAGTCCAGCTCCTAGCCAGATAAGCATGAAACCTAAAACCAAAAGTCTAAGTACTTCAGTTTTCATATATCATGTTTAGCTTTCAACAAAAAACTATCAGGCATGCTAAAAGGCAAGAAAAAACCCACAGTCTCAAGAGACCAAACAAGCATCAGAAGCAGTCCTCAGATATGACACAAATTTATTTCAGTGATCAAATAGAAAATTTACAGTACATGATTAGTAGGTTAAAGGCTCCAACGGAAAAAGTAGACAACATGCAAGAAATTATGTATGCAAAGAGTTGGAAACACTAAAAATAAATGTGAAGGAATGCTGTAAGGGAATGCAGAATAATGTTGATGGGCTCATCAGTAGGCTGGGCACAGCCAAGCAAAGTGTCAGTGAGCTTGAAGACAGGTAAAAGGAAACTCCCCAAACTCAAATGCAATACACTGAATAGAAAGCAGTTATAAACATGGTAGGCATTAATCCAGCTATATCAATAATCACTTTAAATTTGAATGGTCTAAGTACACTAATCACCTATTTTTTTAACTAGGAGGTAAAAATAAAGTTTGCCACTGTCTGCTCATTACAGAATACACTTGGGCTAAAGAAAAATAATCCCAGCCAGGCACAGTGGCTCATGCCTGTAATCCCAGCCCTTCGGGAGGCTGAGGCGGGAGGATCACAAGGTCCAAGAGATGAAGACCATCCTGGCCAACATTGTAAAACTCTACTAAAAACAAAAATTAGCTGGAGATGGTGGCACATGCCCGTAGTCCCAGCTACTCAGGAGGCTGAGGCAGAAGAATCACTTGAACCCAGGACGTGGAGGTTGCAGTGAGCTGAGATCATGCCACTGCACTCCAGCATGGTGACAGAGTGAGACTCCATCTCAAAAAATAAAAGTAATCCCATTTTTAAGAATGACTAAAGAGTAAGGAAAGTAAATAATGTAAATAATGTAGCTACATTTAAACTGACTTTTACTATGCATATAAAATAACAACAGTAATAATTTCCTTGAGAGTTAAAAAGCAGAACTAAGTTAAGTTAAATATACTTTAAATATATTTAAGTTTCAAATTTAAGAAATCAGGTATGCAAAGTACCAAACTATCAGGGGAAGGGAATACCTAAGAAAAACAATCCAAAAGAATGAAAGATGTAAGAGGAGGGAGAAAGGTGCATAAACAAGGGCATGTTAAGGGGAAGTAACAGATAAGGTACAGTCGTACAACGAGATTCAAACACATCAGTAATTTCCTTAAATGTAGAGATGGGGTTAGGTGCGGTGGCTCACACCTGTAATCCCAGACTTTGGGAGGCTGAGGTGGGCAGGTCACTTGAGGTCAGGAGTTTGAGACCAGCCTGGCTGACATGGTGAAACCCTGACTCTACTGAAAGTTCAAAAATATCAGCCAGGTGTGGTGGTGCATGCCTGTAATCCCAGATACTCAGGAGGCCGAGGCACAAGAATCACTTGAACCCGGGAGGTGGAGGTTGCAGTGAGCCAAGATCGTGCCACTGCTCTCCAGCCTGGGTGACAGAGGGACACTTTCTCAAAAATAAATGTAGGGATGGACTGAATGTTCCAAGCTAATCTGACAGGATTTTAGAAATAATCCAAATGTATGCTATTTACAAGAGGTATATCTGAATAAAGACATTGAAAGGCTGAAGTAAAAGGATCTACTACGAATTGTTTA